GCCTATATTCATAATTCCATGAGTATAGGGAAGTATTCTATCTGACTGCATCAGACCATGAATTAAGTTTATTGTGTTTGACTGTTGTCTTGTAATTTCAAACTATCTTGTAGAGCACAGATTTTTCTTAGCCTTTCCATAGTTGTTATTAGGCTCCTATTTGAGTCAGAACAGAAAGCAGCATCATGTCAGAGATAAGGATGAAAAATTTTCTCAGTATGCATTTTTAAGTAAGAATTGAAGTCCAGGTGCTATAATGGAAGCTGATAACTCTCATGGATTTTTAGCTAAATATTCAGTATCAACCTGTGTTTTAAAAATCTCTTGTGTTTTGTTTTTTTGATCCTCAGGGATAAAAGAAAAATAACTAATAACAATAAAATAATAAAAAGAAAAAGAAAAAATCTGGTTTAGACCATCTGGAAAAGTTCTCTATAAGAATTTAACAGGTAGCAGGCTGAATATGATTGAAGGACAGTACCTGATACCTGTTTAGCAAATATCTGAAAGCAACACATAAAACTCAAATGGCCTGTATGTATTACTAATGGGTCCAAGCCACCTTTTTCCCACAAGGAGTATCCCTACTGGTCTACTGTGTAATATTCCTAGGCAGCTGTGTTTTGGTGTAATGAAAATGCAATTACAAATATTACTCCACTACTCCATTTCCTCTTCTCTCTAAATTGCAGTTTGGGATTTTCTGCTCTTTTTAACAAATTGCATTGCTCTCCAGAAGATACAGCTTAAATTAACAATGTCTTTATCTCCAGACATTACAGTCTATATTAAGCATATCTATTAATTTGCTTTCAAAACAATACTGTCTTCATGCGTTCATCAGAGATAAACTGACAGGTTTTGATTTGAGAACTATTAAATTTGGTGGAGGGTACCCTTTACACATTCTCAGCAGCTTTGAATTGAGTTGATTTGTATGGAACATGTTAGACCACACACCTTTTATGAAAGCAAGTGAAAGCAGCAGTCAGTGTGTGACAGGATGTACTGCTCTGAGTGTAGTGGATGTACAAATGCCCCATGTCTTCAGTCATGTCTAAACTCATCTAGACTGAGTCCCATGACTGTCTAGGAGACTGTGTTTTTATTTACAGACCAAAACTGAAGAAGCTGTTCTAGTATATCCTGAATAAGTCATGTCTCTTCGTGAGTTTGTCTCAAACTGGACACTGGAAGGGAGGGGTGAGTGCCTGCAGGTCAAGAATTAACAGAATATTATATCATCAAACTCCTAAATACAAAGAGAAGTAGAAATGCTAGCAGTAGATCACAGTTAATATTATGACAGGTTCTGAAGTCAAACAGGCTCAAGGAGCCTAAAAAGATCACCAGTGCTGGCTCCAGCACTGATCCAGCCGGTAGGATGTCCAGAGTCCTGTGGGCACCATCTGGGCTTTATGGAATGCCTTTTTATAGCTATGTTTCCCCACCCTGGAGATGAGTTTCTTGCTTTCTATACAAATTAATTATCATGTGCAGATAGTTCTTCCAGACCTTTCTGAAAATAGTTTTGAGGGCTTTGGTGGTCTTGATCCACCAGTACCAGGTCAGCCTTTGATCAATAGTCCTTGCCTACTTTTTGACCTCTGTCCTTTGCTTGAACTGTACACTGAAATAAACACTGTTGTGTTTATTTCAGGAGCCAGAACAAGGGCATTTCTCCAAAAAAAATGCTGCCATATCTCCAATGTACTCCTTCTCCAGTCACATCATGTTCTTTACCATAACATGTTCTTACCAACAACCCTTGGTTGGCTCCATGGCTATTCAACTATAGGTGTTTGAGACACACACATAAGATCCCTTTTCTTCTGGCTTCTATTATTTCAAATGCTGTGTGAATGCAGAATATAATAAATTACAGTCGTCTCAAATAATTGGCAGTTCTGAAGTAGGTCTGTCTGATCATTGGGCATACTAATTTTAATTTCTAATATCATAGCATATTCCTAAAGCGGAATTAAATTTAACACAAATCTTTCCTCCCTGTGGATTGCTGAGATAGCTGACTTTTAAACATTACTTGCACTAGCCAATAATTCGTGGAGAGTACTTGTACCTTTTCAGTGGGTAGCAGCAATTAGGAAAACTGAAACTCAGGTCTTGTGCAGTTCATTTATAATCTATTTTTTTAAGTACTTCAGATACCTGAAGGTGTTAGAGATTAAGAGACTGTATCTGAAATGTTAGAATAAACACTAGTAGAAATGGATATATGGGAAGAGTACCTGTTATCAGTGGTCAGAAAAATCAATCTTCAAAATTGCATCTGCTCATTGAAGTTCTCTTTTTGCTTTATTCTTGTTCTTGATTGAGCAAATGTTCTGCATTTAAATTAGTAGGAAGGTAGTCCAATAATCAAGGAAAGTGATTATTCTCATAGTATCATTTATTATTCCACATTTAAATAGTGTGAACAGTTCTGGGATCAGGCAGAAGGAATTTTCCTAACAGTCACTTTCTAATAAGAGTAGCTGATAAAAAAAAGATGGTATTCTTGACGCTTGGAAACAAGGGAGGTTCTAGCCTGACTTAGATAAATTGTTGTCATGATAACTAAACATGGGAATGATTTTCCCAAGAAGTTGTGGAATTCTTGTCTTTGTGTGTTTTTGAGACATGACTGAACAGTCCCTTGTTTTGAAATAATGGACACTGCCCTGAGCATGATCCTGGCTTATAAAACCTGCTAGGTGAACAAGTAATTCTGTGATTTATGAATATTTCTTGAAATAGGCTAAACAGCATGAAACTTATACACACGTGTAGTACATTAAAAAAATTGATTAAGGATCCATACCTTAAGATTTTTACACTAGACAATCTAATATCATAGAGCATCCTTAAAATGAGGAGGAACAATATTTATCTATTATAAGCCAGTATTAATTTTCCTTACTTTATAAGTAGAGAATTCTAAAACTATAGGACTTAGATTGTATTGTTTCCTTCTCCTAAAGCCATCTTGTATGTCTTGTAGGTTGTTTCCTCCTTTTTTTACAACTATGGACAATTTTTCTGTGCTTCAAAATAAAATAAAAATTATTAAAGAAGATAAGCCATCAGAACCAAAAGATAAAACTGCCAAGTTATGTTTTAGATTGTTCAGTAATGCCACAATCACTGTAAATAACACTTGAAAATATATATTTAAATAGAAAAAATATATTTGTTTAGTCTAGCAAACATTGTCCTCACAAGAAAAAGGTGTTTCCCAATTCAATCTTCAAAAGTCTCTCAGCAAAAGAGTATAAAAGCCTGCTTCAGTTTCCCCGAGTGCATGGTTTCCAGGTTTTTGTTGGATTGACAAAACCATGACATGAAAGATATTTAGATTTTTAATGAGACAGTAAACTTCTGATCTAGTTTTACTATAAAGTAATAGAAGAATTCAGGTCACAATATTTAATGAGAACCCAATCAACATTTTTGCACAGCATATCAGTATTACTTTGGAGATCCAAATGAAACAGTTCTTTGTCAAGTAGACACTTTTAAGATGAGAGGTGCTTTAACATTACATTAAGAGCTTCAAAGTGGAACATTTGATTTTCTGTATTATAATGTGTTTGAAATATTATTGTGAAAAAAATTTCTATTTTTCAAAGTGACAGATGAATTATTCAGATAGCTTTGATTATAAAATACACCAGAAAAGTTCTTTTATAAAGGCTGCGTATCCAAGGGTTTTTAACAGAGTGGCTTTAATGATTTGAGAAATTATGAAAATACATTAATATTGATTTAATAATTAAAATCTGTAATTTTAAAAATTATTGTGCTGGTGTCTTGTGCTAGTTCCATTCTACTGTTGTGATTTTTATTTTTTTCACTCAAATATATTATGCACGTGCAACTATTACACATGTATTCATTAGCAAAGATTTGAAGAAATGATTTAAGCATAAAATAAAAGTCCCTCTCAACAGTGTGCCTCCAAGTCCAGGCATGGTGATTAAAAGTTTAAAATGATTAGAATAATCCTGCCCATTGCAATTAAAATTTAGTTCTCCAAAAGTACCATGAGGAAGAGAGAACTGAAAATCTTTATTTTACAAAAGAAATTGTAACAAAGAATAATTTATCTAGACATGTTTGCTTGTTTTAGCTACAATTGATAAAATAGCATTTAGATATGAACTCATCATAATGCACAGCAATTGCAAAGCCAAGAATTAGATTGATTGTATATAATCTGCTTGCAATCTATTGCCAGACTCAGGCAACTTTCTACTATCTCTGTTTTATCTATTTTTGAGATAATTAATTAAATTGTCTTTTCCTTTATGTTTATCTTTTTCCTTTCTTTTCTTTTTTCTTTTCTCAGAGCCTGGCTCTGCAAGGTGCTTGTGAGTGTCCCCAGCTTCTTTTGGAAAACCTTTCCAGGGATGCTACTGTGCACCTCACAGGACAGGATTCAATTCCTTTATTTTGCTATAGTATTTTTTTTCTGTGAATAGTAGTATTTGGTGATTAGCAATGTCACTTTTACTGCTAACTATTTGTTTTCTGGTATCTTCATTATTTGTAATTTTAATGAGAAAAAAGCCTTTTGCCTGATGTATTTTTTTTTAGTGAAGTTCTGTGATTTAACAGATGTTAATTTTCTTTCAAGATGCAAAATACTGACACAGTGGTTATAAGAGCCTAATCCTAAATGGGACCAATTGTCTGGAATTCTATTGGTGTCAATAAAAGAATAAGTGCTTTGATGTTTGCAGGTGGCACTTGGAAACTTTCAGAGCCAATCTGTATGGAACTTTATCAGTATCAGCAGCAGTTAAGAATGTTAATCTTCAATATTGTTTTTTCTTAATATTGCTGTTAACTGTAATGCAATCGCACTGTAAAAACTTTCAATCACTATTTTCTTTATAACCTCTCTTGTTTTTCTTTTTCTTTTGCAGCAGTTTTGCTGGATAGACTTTGTGAATGGCTGCATTTTAAATCTGTTCTTTTTCTTCTGTCAATTGCCACAGGTTTAGTCCCTATGAGTGGTATAACCCACATCCTTGCAACCCTGATTCAGACGTGGTGGAAAACAATTTTACCTTGCTAAATAGTTTCTGGTTTGGAGTTGGAGCTCTCATGCAGCAAGGTATACGACTCAGTCTGCTCTTTCTCTTGGGCACCATGTCCCACTTTTTGCTGGGGGTCACAGTTCTCTGGCGCAAGTCACTTGCATGGGTGCCTCTGTGCATGTAGCCACAAACCAGCTTTTTTGTGATTATCCAGGCATTCCCAGCACCTTATGAATTAGCCTGAAGATAGAAAAAAAATTTAAGACTTAAAAAAATTTCAGCATAGCCATACAGTTTATTTCCTAAACAGGAAACCCTTACTGGATAATTAAATTGGCTAATCTATCCATTACCTAAAAAAACCTCCATTTAAACAACCTAGGAATGAGTATATTTTTGTCAGATAAGACTATAATATAAAAATCTATAATTTGTTTAATTTTGGTCTAAAAACCTTTCAACTACAGATAGATTTTATCTAGTAGCTAGAACCTATAAAATAAAATAATATAGGAGATTTAATCCTGTCCAGTCATAATTGATATTTTTAAAATCAGAATGACCATTCAACAAGGTCTATATTCAACAATCCATGCACTGAGAAACTGATGTCATTGCTGACAATAAAATTGGCAGCTGTGTAGTCACATTACTCAGAGTAAAACCAACATGCAGTTTTAACTATAACTGTCTAAGTAAAATTCTTAAACACATTCTTAAAACTCAGTAATTTCCTTGTCATATTCCTCTTATTTTGAAAGCATACCAAATATATAGATCCATAAAAATATATCACCATTTTATTGCCCTTTTCCATAAGGATTTGAACACAGTCATATAATAAAAGACACATTTGAATAGCACAGTTTCATTTTTTGCACTGACATTTCACTGGGCAGTATAGCGTAATACAAAAGATTGTTAGTCCTGTTAAAGAGCCATTAAAAGGAATGGCTTTCCTTTCTGGAAAAATAACCATTGCATATCATCCCCAAAAAAATAGAAAATATTGGCAGGAACAAGTGCATATTGGTAGAGTTGTTTTAATGAATATACCTGAGCAATCATTTTTAAAACTTACCATTATAAGTACACCAGCTATAAATAAATCCTGGTTTTAACTCATCAAATGATTTAAGGAAGCTTTCCTGTAACTGCAGTAAATATTCTGCCATATATCAAGTTTGCAGACTTAAAATTCTCTAATGCCTCAGCAAGAAGAGTACTGTGCTCAGAAAAACATGAATTAATGGGTAAAAAGAAATAAGGATTTCAAATCAGAAATAAAAATATGTCTTTAGTTGGCTAAGTGTTTACTATCAACTAGGGTGTCAATATATATGTCAAGAAATTATATAGTTGAAACACAATTGCCAAATACATATTTGTAAGATAATGACTGCTTTTAAGGAAGCTATCAAAAAAAGGGATGCTGAATGAAAGAAGGTATTTCAAATTCCATTCACTGTTCTCAGGATTGTCAGAATTTCTATCAATGCTGAGTTTTATTTCTTATGTGGCTTTATGCTTCTATGATGGAAAAAGCAATTTAGATTTTTGTATCATCTTTTTGCAAGAAAAAGGTTTTTTAGTCTGTAACATCTAAACATTGTTTCTGAGAATCAAAATAAGAAAAAAACCCCCAACCTTCATTTTAAAAGACATCTTTGGAGGATAATAGTTTTCCTTGAAGGAAAACTAGTTTTTCAGAATTAAGGCTGACCCTCTGTCCTTGCCTTAAATTGTTTTACCTTTACTCAGTTCAGCCTTTAATAAACTTTAAAGGCATCATTGTAAGGATGCAGCATCAGTCTTGATTTTGTTGATTGCTTCAAAAAGAAATCTCAAAAACCTAAAGTCATTTAAAAGTAGGCTTTCAGACAAGCATGGAAGTTCCCACCTAATAGCAATAACAATATAGAAGCACTTGGGCCATACTCATATGGAAGTAGGAAGTGCTGCTCCTTTACAAAAGATTTGTTTAGTGCTGGAGGATACATGACAGAGGAAACTCATGCATGTCTTGCTGGCACCTCCTGCTCCCAGGAAACTGTGGGATATGGTGCTGGACATGGCGTTACCTTGGGTACATGACAGTCAGCCCCTGACCAGGCTCTGTTTCATGGGCCCAGGTGGTTTCAGTCGCTTTCAGTCCCTGGTAAGGAACGAGCTCGTGGGAACCGGGGGAACTGCGGCCAAGGCTCCACTCTTCTCTTCCTTCCAGTCCTGTCTGACTTTACTGGTGCTGGTGTTTAAAATGAAATGAGAGCAATTAAAAAGAGTTAATGATAGTGGGCTTGTTGGGAAATCTCTTAGTGTTATGGTGTCTAAGTGTCTGACTAACAGGGCCTAGGAGCAACTCCATCAGACAGGTACTTTTCTACTTTTTCCCTTGCAGAATTCTAGGCAGAGTCTGGCGCTGGAGTTGGCTGTCATGTCCAAGTGTGTCAGCCTTTTTTGTTTGAAACAGCAAGGGTAAGATGAACTGCAGGGTAAGATGGGCTGTTTTTGAATACAGTAGTCCAGTTATGATACCACTTCTTTTTTCCCTTTCTTTTGTTTTATTCCTCCTTCCCTCCCTCCCCAGCCCTTCTGTTCTTTTTTTTCACATTGAGTTTGGAAGTTTGACATAATCTTTCACCTATATGAAGATGTGTTACCTTGCTGGACCAGTTCCTTAACTAATTCAATATAAGCACTAAAATTTAACAGGAATAAAATAGTCCATCTTGCCTTCATTCCATTTTACCCAGGAGATATAAGAGCAAACATAGTAACCAATTAACAAAAAGGGGTTGTTTCAGTACAATGGTATAGAGGATATGATGAAACTGTTTCCTTGAAAACAAGTTTCCAGATACTTCTAAAAGATCTTATATAAAGTTCTTAAAATGAAGCTTGAAATTGTTTATTTGACATCATTAGAAATTTCATTTCATTCAATTATAACATTATGGAAAAAATCCATACACGCTCATTTATGATAAATATTTGTAATTGTACATTACAGTGAATTTAATTTATTCCTATTTTTTGTAATTAGACACAAGAGGAGTTTATGTGCTTCAATTTGTCTCATTAGGCTCTAAATTTGCATTAAAAATTATGCAAATTACTATACAGTGTCTGTCTCCCCCTCCATTCTTTAGTGCCATGAGCAGGCAACTCCAGCAGTGCATTATAATCTATCTTTATCAAGTTTATGTATAGAAGTCTAATATTTTTATTACTATTCTATTAAATTGAAGTTTTTAGCATAGCCACCCATATTTATATGAAATTGTGGGGCTAAACATAGAGATGGGAGATATTAATTTTTTTATCTCAACATTTAATAAACTATCCTTTACAGTAATGCAAACGAAAAAACTCAAAAGCATATTTTTAATCGATTTAAGGTTTTGTTTTTCAGATATGAAATCTTTTATTTCATATCTAGTACCTTCATAAATTTCTTATTTTTCCTGGAAAGTTGAAGTAGAAGTAACTGCTTTTTACTCTTGGTATTTATATATATGTTTAGAAATTCTAAAATGGAACTGATCAGCGAATCTCCCATTACTATATTTTGATTCCCATAGCTCCGAAAAGATATGTCTTTATAAATTTAACCAGTTATTTTGCATTTCAGTTGTGTGTGTTTGTACAAGCAGTACATCTAAACCTGTAGCTTAAAGATTTTTTTTGCACAGTGATTCCATTTCCCCACTGTGGCAAAAAGTGCTGAACACTGATTAATTGTTTTCTGTGCATCCGTTTCACCTTTCTCCCCTGGTTTTCGTTAGGTTCTGAGCTCATGCCTAAAGCCCTCTCCACCAGGATAGTGGGAGGCATTTGGTGGTTTTTCACACTTATCATCATTTCCTCGTACACTGCTAACCTAGCCGCCTTTCTGACAGTGGAGCGGATGGAGTCCCCCATTGATTCTGCTGACGACTTGGCCAAGCAGACAAAGATAGAGTATGGGGCAGTTGAAGATGGAGCAACCATGACTTTTTTCAAGGTAAGTTTTATATTCTGTTTGGGATGTTATAACATGATTTTGGGGGGGAAAGCTTTTGCACCTTGCTGAAGGGCAGCTTCTATGATTCCTGATGCTGTCAAAAACAAGTGGAAATTTTTTTTTTTATTAAAAAGATAGCAAAAGAATCAAATTAAAACTCTCTCAAAGCTTTTTTGATGATTTTCTATTAATGAATTGAATTTATAGCAGTGAAGTACGTGAAGAAACCTGAGTACTTTCCTCAGATCTTCTATAGCTGCATACATGATTAAACTTTTTCCTGTTAAAAGTTAGTTTTAATTCAAGAGCATTATACCTAGTTGTAATCTTTACTCAAGAAACACTAAAGGTATTAGTGGCTGTACTGAGGAAAAGTTTTTGGACTTCATAATTTTGAGAAACTTTTGAATGAAATTTTGAGTCCAAGTAAAAATCTCAGATTATCCCAGTTTTTCTGTTTCTCTTAACCTGCTAATAAGATAATTAAATTTGAAGTATAGTGAAGTGAGATACTGAATTAGAGGAAAATATTTCTTGTCTAGATTCATAAGGCATTTAAGCAGACTTAAATTAGTGATAAATATTTATGAAAGAAGATGGTTTGTTCTCTAATTCCTGATGCTGGATAGCACAGAGGTGTCTCAGATCTTCCAGAGAGGTTCTGCTAGAATTGAATATCTCATAGAGAATGTTAAAAATATTAAAAAATACAAAGAGAGCTTAAGCATAGGACACTGATAAAACAGTTTTAAATGGTATGTATTATATCCTCTGATATATAGATAACTGAATATCAAGTAGGAAGTTCCATTTTGTATGGCATTAAGGAAAATACTAATGAACTTTTGTGTCCTGTTCTGGTCATCACACTTTGAAAATATGCTTAAAATTGGAAAGGGTTCATTAAAGGTGAAGGAATGACTGTAGGTCTGAAAATAAGCATTGCAGTTAGAGGCTAAAGATCTGCCTGTTTAATCTGCTGAAGAGAAGGTTAAGAGGTGACTTGATCATGGTTTGAAAATGCCTTAATGGCAATGAGACTTTTGACAGTGGATGACTCACTAATCTAGCAGAAAAAGGCATAATGAGATCCAATGTTTCATAGCTGAAGTTAGGGAAATTCAGACTAGAAATAAGGTGCATATTTTAAGAGTGAGAGTCATTAACCACTGGTATAACTTATTGAGGAGTGGGTTAGATTCATCCATCAAAGGCAGCCATTATGTGGAAGATAGATACAGGGTAACACAAGCATGTTGTTCTTTTGATTTAGAGGTTACTCCATGAAAGAGATAGCCTTCATTATACAGGAGATCAGATTAGGTTTGAGTAGTACTCTTGTACTTCAAAAATCTAAGAGGGTATGAGTTCTGGGGGTAGGGGTTGCACAAAGATAATTAAGAGGATAAATTTATCATCCGTGTGTATGTTTATCCTTAGCTACTTTTGTCTTGTTTTAATGAGAGTGGATTGAGTAAAACAGTGACACTGTGTTACAATAAGATATAAAGACACCAGATGGTTTGCTAATGTTAAATAAAATTATCATATCTTGGTAAAGGTATTAGTTCCAATCACAGTGAGGCTTGGTAGCTGCCCATAAGACTGACAGTAATTTCTTCATAAATTAGCTATATAGCAGTCTATTCAATTCTTTTCTTAAAAAAAACCTTTGGAGTGTGGCCAAAGCTATGTGGTGCTAAAAAAAAAAAAGCTATTATGAAGGGAAACCTAAATGGGCATCAGACAAACAAGCTAACTGCTGGATTTAAAGCTCCTGAAGGTAAAATCTTGGACAAAATCTGGGATATACGTTGAAAATGCTGTTACTCTTGTGAGTCAAATATCCTTGTGAAACAGCTTTGATGAAAAAGGAGAAGGTTATCTTCAGGCTTTTACTAGGTCCTTCATCCCATGCCTCCTCATGGTCTGAGAAACATGAATTACAACTCTTTCAGAAGCCAGAAAGCAAAAGAAAATTTCAGTGCTCTCTCCTCTTAAGATCTGCTTATCTGGTCTGAGCATGGAAAGGAAATAATTGTACAAGTCCATTACGTGTCTGGTGGGTCTGCTCGGCTAATTAATTGTTAATAATAAAGAAAACCTCAGTATAGTCCAAGAATTGGAAGCAAAGATATGTGAAAGTAAGTTCTAAGCCTTATCTGCTTTTAGGCTAGGAGTGTCCATTACCAATACATACTTTGATGTTTCTCAGATTATGTATTCTTTCTTAGTTATGAAAATGTCTTCCTTTCTCTTGGCTGCTATTGTCCCTATTGACCACTTTCAAATTTCAGAAACCTGTTCTTTCCCCTGTTTGGAATAAAATAAAAAGCATTTATCATTTTTATGAAAGGTAGTGATCTCACACTAATTGTACTTGGATGAAAAAGCTTCAGATTTTTCATTGTCTCTAATTTCTGTGGTCTCTCAGTTTGTGTTTCTCACTTGGTTTTCTTGCTGAATAACAATTCTGAAATTAAGAAGAACAATATTAATTCTACCCAGCTTCTATTTGCACCACACTTCTCCACTCTCACACACAAGGAAAACCTAGTTCAATACACGTATGAGGTCTACAATGTTAAGATATTTCTTGTGTCAAGTGCTTTTGTTTCTCCCATAATTTTTCATACATGTAACTTTCAGTGTCAGAATTTCTCTTTCTAGATTTTTGTACAGTACCAGGTATAATGGAAATTTTCTTACTTAGTGTTACTAAGCATCTGCATACCAAAAAGTAAAAACCAAAGTAGTTTTCATTCTGTAATAGCAGTAAATTAATGCCATTACTTCTTTATCACAAATAAAAGGTCTTAGCTTTCTGTGAGACATGTATTTTATAGTCTAGTTTTGTTGATAAGGAAAATGAGGCACTAAATGGGATTGCATCTTTTTCAAGATCACTTTGTGAAAGGTAGATAGGAAACTAATTCTGGTGAAAGGTAGACATGGGACTAAATCAGGAAAGCTGACTCACATACCTTAGAATTATCAGACTATTCTGTTTACCAATTATATTTGCATTTTATTCTTTACGATCAGGTTTTATACTCCAGCTCTACTTTTCTGCAATATATTTCATTTCTTCCTGCGCTGCTTTTTCTCTATAAAGAGACATGTTGCTCATCTTTTTTAGTCATTTTCCTTTTCCCCCATGCCCTTACATTTTACCCTAGCCTATTTGTTGCCACCTCTCTGAGGAAATTTAGCGAAGCAACAATTAAGTACTTTTTGTCTGTCTTCCCTTTCCACATTCTCAGCCTGTTTTAACAAGAAATGGCATTAAGCTTTATACATTACAAAGTCTCAGAAACACTCTTTAAAAGCTGAAGGAAGGAGCTATAGGGGAATTTTCCCACTGCTTGCAACTGGAGTACAAATGATAAATTCTCTGACATAAATTGAAGAACAGCAGCAAGAATAAAGGTATTAATGTCATACATTTGTCATGTGTGAGGTTGACATTGATGTGCACAAAGCCAGTACTTCAGTGGCATTTTCAAGTCTGGGTTTGAACATTGTAATAAACGAGTGATATTTATTTGCTTAACAAGTAAAGATGCAGTACAAACACATGGGTGTATACACACAGAGAACATTTAGTTTAATGCTTCATAGAAAACAACGTGAAATTTGGCAGTAAGTGTTAATTATTTGGTGCAATTGTTGCAAGTCAATGATGAGAGAAGTAGCATTTATGAGTTTCTCAAATATCCAGTGACAGTGACTAATGGAAAATAATCTTTTGAGTCACAGCTTCCATGTACTAACTTTGATAATGCATGAAAAATAACTGGTAACAGATACATATTCAGTTTGATTTTATAGTATTTCACTTTATAGAATAGTTGCCTTTTGATGTAATAAATACAGACTTGTCCTTGCATGAAAAAACATGTGGTACATTTTGCTAAAAAGGGAATTGAATATAAATACCATGTAAATATTTTTTTTTCTTCTTTTTGATCATGCTGGTTTGTACCTAACTGCCAGAAAAATCTAGAGCTGAAACTCATAATTTCCTCTTAGTCATGATTCCCTCTTTGCAAGAACACTACTTAATTAACCATTGCTTCTTTTAATGTGAGGAAAAAAAAAAAAGGCAGATATAGTTCTAAATCTCTAAAACAAGGTCTGTGGTCACTCCATACAGTTATAAGAACTAATCTGCAATAGCAGAGCCTGTGAGAGTGAGATATAGGCTTTGTCCAGAGATCTTAAAACATCTCTGCCTCACTGAGTTCTACTTATTTTTGTAAAAGATCAGGGAAGTTAGGCAATGGTAGGTAGGTTATATGATACATTAACAGAGACTATAACAAGAACAGTTCGTTTGAATTCTATATTAAAGAAATTACAATAAATTTGGTACCATTAAGTTCTATGGGGTGAACTGTCTTTCTTTTGAATTTGAAGGCAGAAAGCAGAATAAATTCACAGAAAGTGCTTCCGTCCAAGTAACTGTCTACTTATGGGGACAACAATTTTGTGCTGTCTTGACCCTTAGAGTGATTATTATTCCTACAGTAAATATGAGCAGATGTTTGGCTTTGTGTTGCATTTGAGTGCTGTATCATGAAACTAAAAATAGATGGAGTGCAACAGAAATTCATTATCTTTTCACTCTCACGTTTGTCCCCCACCCATGACTTTTCCCTTCCCTTTCTCCTTTCCCTGTTCCTCATTTTTTATACCCTTCAATAAGAACTGAAAAAGATGAACATGACTAGTCAACTTTTTAATTTCTACAAAGATTATTTTATATATCCAGATAGTAAGTACTCTTTATAAGCTGCTGGATAGCATTTGGTTATACTTAAAAACTATAAGATTCATATTTATCATTTGCATTTGTCTCAGGCTACAGCTCTTAGAAATAGATGAAACATGTAGAAATGCCTTTTGATGTCCTCTCAAGGAAAAAAACCCACCAAATTTCCAGTGAAAACAAGAGTAGACATTCACAAAAATTAAAATATTGAAAAAATCATTAAGAT